CAGCTCGACATCGACAAAGCCAAGTATAGTCACTAGCTTGGGAAATGGAAGCACGGCTCCAGGCTAGTTTGTAAGAGCTGCAGGATGACACATGGACAGGAGACAAGGGAACAATAACTGACAATCCTGATAAACTAGACAATATTTTGTAAAAGGCTTTCAACCAAATACCTTGTAACAACAATTTTCTTCCTCAAGCAATACAATTCCTAAGCAAGAACCTCTTTTACAGTGGACGTAACATTAGTCCTTCGGCTAGGGTGAACCACTCATACTGTTGTCTTAATCTTGCATTTAACCCTTAGCACACTTTTTTTATCATATTCACAAGTATACACATTCCCTAAGCCACATCTAAGATTATTCTGTAGTTCGGTCCAATCGATTTCGAGCACCATAATTTGTAAACTTAAATGTTCTGACTTTGAATCTTGATAAATTTTTTGAGGTCAAATTATGAAAAAGTTATCTCTCATGAATATTTTAATCTTGTGCATAGATGACCTGTCTTTAACTAGACCAAAGAAGAAATTAGTCGAGGCACGCATAAGTTGACTTTGAATACCCCTAATCATTGAACAAAAAAAAAAAGGAAACATATTTTTCTTCTAGATGCGATTTTTCAAGTAATAATATCTATTTTTTTATAGAGATAATAAAGATTTTTAATTAATGGGTGGCAATTGAAATAAGAAAGCATGTAGGAGGCTGAATTTTCCTCTCTATTCAAGGAGTAAATATTGATGATACCCATAAAATAGTACCATAAAACAATGACAATTTAGTCAAAGTAATTAGACTATCTTGAGGACGTATGATGAAGATTACCCAAGGTGAGAAGCCCAAGTTGGTCCATAGTAAGTTAGTAACCTCAAGGAGAACCATTTAGGGCACCCCACAGAAAATCCCGAAGAGAATTATGGTTACGAGATTAGGATAACTGACTGAACCGATCTCCTTATGCATAAACTAACCTTAATAGGAGAGCTCACCTTAAAGCCAACTCAACACATGGCCCCGTCAAAAGCATACGAGATCATCACATGTCCATGCTGAAAGACTAGTCACCATGCCACCACAACATGTTTTAGAAGGTCTTGTCACCCATAGAGAATGTAGCCTTTAACGGTATAGAGAATATAGACTCAAATGACCTAAATATCCCCTCAACAAAATCCTAACAAACTAAGAGACCACCCGATGGTGACATCATCATCATATATAAATACTAAGGCCTTTAGTCGAGTGAGAACAGATGAGAGAAAACTTGTAATCAATCCTTTTCCTAAAAGAAATATACAAAATCTCTACGAACAAGAGATTTCATTAGAGTGAATTAACCAAACTCTATAGCTGGTGAACCACTATAATTCGTGTGTTCTCTAATATTCATAGCTCATCCCTTTTCACAATATTTTTTGAATGTTTGCTAAGAGCCTCCTGGCTCCATTTCAAATTAACCACCAACCTTCACACACTCACTGAAACGATACCAGTAATCCTTGAACTCCTTAGTTTAAGCACCCGACTTGTATTCTGAATCCAAATATCACCAAAATGCAATGATGATATCATCCCAATGGTATTATATAGTATCACCAACTAATAATAAAATATTAAATATATAAGGTAAATTTTACTTGAATAATTATTGACCTATATGAAAGGAGAGTGAGTACTTATTAGTTCATATGGATTGGTAGCATTAATTTATGTGAAATTTATTTTTTTATTTATATTAATAATATTACGTCAACGTGACGTCACTTGACAATCTGTCCTTCCTCTTGATTCTAGCCGTGTACGTAGATCCCACTTCAAAAACTAGCCATAAAAGTATTGGCCCAACGTTGTTCTGACTAGGCCACTGACAGTGCATGGGCCTTTGTTAGGCCCAGCAATGGCCTTGTAACTCATTCATTTCTCCCTACGAATTTTGGTCAAACACATGGTTGAATAACTCGAGGGTAAGCTTAGGTGAAAACAGGAATGAGCGATAAAGTCAAATGTTTTAAATTTAAATTTTGATAATTTATTATAGTTGAACTATTAGAAATTTATCCCTCATAAATGCACTAATTCTAACATGAATGACCTATCTTTGATCAAATCAAAAAGAAAAATTAGTTGATATACATGTAATATATAATTAATGTATAATTTTGCAATAAGATAAATAGACATAACAATATGCTACTTGAATATCGTGATCACAACCTAGCAGAATGGTCCAACAAAATGAAACTACAAATTCGTGGTAACAATAGATGGAGCTAATTTTTTCCTATTGATCGATCACCCTCTGTCTGGTCCATACTCTGCATATGTACGTAGTACTTACTATCTTCCTAATAGCTGAAACATAAATGGATGTAAATTGTGTCCTTTGTAGATGGTCGTATAGTAAATGTACATTAACCATAGAAAGGAAGAAACTAAATGCAATGTTGGAGGTTTCATTAATTCGTTTGGTTGCATGTGCAGTGTTTGATCAAATTGCTTAAAGAATTCATTAACATGGACAGGCAAAGACTACCAAACTTTCTCTTTGGTGTCATTACTATCAGGCGCGTTATGTTGGCATCTACCGCCAGACGCCAGTACATGTGAGTTAGGAGCGTTAATCCGCAGAATTTGAGTATTCAAATCTAATTTAATTGTCATTTGTAGATTACATAAAATCTATTGATTATCAATAAAATATATAGTTTAGATTAAAAGACAGGTCAAGTCAGTCTGTGAGACTCAATCACGCATTGCATGCATATTAATATAATTTTGTGGGTTAATCCGTAATTTTACATCCTTTATAATCATGATGTGAGTGAGAATGCATTGAGTATGTGAACCCCATTAGTAANGTCCTTCCTCTTGATTCTAGCCGTGTACGTAGATCCCACTTCAAAAACTAGCCATAAAAGTATTGGCCCAACGTTGTTCTGACTAGGCCACTGACAGTGCATGGGCCTTTGTTAGGCCCAGCAATGGCCTTGTAACTCATTCATTTCTCCCTACGAATTTTGGTCAAACACATGGTTGAATAACTCGAGGGTAAGCTTAGGTGAAAACAGGAATGAGCGATAAAGTCAAATGTTTTAAATTTAAATTTTGATAATTTATTATAGTTGAACTATTAGAAATTTATCCCTCATAAATGCACTAATTCTAACATGAATGACCTATCTTTGATCAAATCAAAAAGAAAAATTAGTTGATATACATGTAATATATAATTAATGTATAATTTTGCAATAAGATAAATAGACATAACAATATGCTACTTGAATATCGTGATCACAACCTAGCAGAATGGTCCAACAAAATGAAACTACAAATTCGTGGTAACAATAGATGGAGCTAATTTTTTCCTATTGATCGATCACCCTCTGTCTGGTCCATACTCTGCATATGTACGTAGTACTTACTATCTTCCTAATAGCTGAAACATAAATGGATGTAAATTGTGTCCTTTGTAGATGGTCGTATAGTAAATGTACATTAACCATAGAAAGGAAGAAACTAAATGCAATGTTGGAGGTTTCATTAATTCGTTTGGTTGCATGTGCAGTGTTTGATCAAATTGCTTAAAGAATTCATTAACATGGACAGGCAAAGACTACCAAACTTTCTCTTTGGTGTCATTACTATCAGGCGCGTTATGTTGGCATCTACCGCCAGACGCCAGTACATGTGAGTTAGGAGCGTTAATCCGCAGAATTTGAGTATTCAAATCTAATTTAATTGTCATTTGTAGATTACATAAAATCTATTGATTATCAATAAAATATATAGTTTAGATTAAAAGACAGGTCAAGTCAGTCTGTGAGACTCAATCACGCATTGCATGCATATTAATATAATTTTGTGGGTTAATCCGTAATTTTACATCCTTTATAATCATGATGTGAGTGAGAATGCATTGAGTATGTGAACCCCATTAGTAATGTATTAGTGAGACTCATTTATAGAAATTTCATGTGTGAAAATATTAGTGGGTCGATTTCAAAATTATTTAAAAACTTAGAGGGAGGCAAACATTATTAACCCATTACATGCAAACTTGGAAAATAAATGATTGGTAGAGGTGTTTATATATAATACATGTTATCAGATAGGTTTTATCATCATTCTTAATAACTAAGATGATGAATGTTGTTATTGCACCTGTTAAATTATATCATGTTTGATTAGTCCAGTTTATAATAATTGGTTACAGGTGTATGAAAAATTTAGTCGCATTAAATTTTTGGGAGACCGAGACGAGGCGTGACACCGCCGATGTTAAACAGGTCGACACCAACTAACTAAGATGATCGTATTACTCTAAAAGACAGGAAATATTATAAAATATACCAAAAGGGATAAAAAAAGACTCTTTTTTTATCAAATTCTACCTTAGGCATCATGTCAATCCATCACTTCTAAAAACCTACATTATATTTATAGATAAAAATCTCTAACCATTAAATATTCTCCAACCAATCTATGACCAGCATACACGTTGATTCAAAGACGATTTCCCAACTATCAGACGAATCCCCAGTATGCAAGATAGCACTCTCACTGTACTCATTTTCTTCCTTAAGAAATACACTGCCAAAAAACAAAAGCCTCCATTATAACAGACTAACTCAAATTTTCAGTTCAACGAACCATTGAGGAACCTCACATGACTCAGTAACTCCCTTATTCATGTCAAAAAATAATTACCCTATGTTAAAAAAAAAAATGAATTCCTCCACTAATAAAATATCGAACATAACATGGACACCATGTCATATATTATTACTATCTAATAGAAAATTAGTGAATTTTATTATTTTATATGATATGATTATTAAATTATATAAAAAAATAACTGTTAAATTGTGTGAGGTTCATCCATGTGAGCGTGGGGCCACCGTGCGCGGCGGAACACCAACCAGAAGTGTTGTCGTGTACTGTAAAAGTTCACTAGCACAACACCAGCTTTATAATTTACATGCTTTTGCTTTTTCTCGCTTAGTCTTGGTACATAATCATAGCGAGAGACTGAGCCATTGGGCCACTGATTATGCCACCCACACTTCGACCGTTGACGTACAGCCAAGTCTTCGTCATCAAATGGGGAGTGCTTCGTCGGACGACGATTTTGATCGGCGGAGTGACCGTTTCGAGAGTTACAGTCTGAGTGCGGACGTCAGCGAATCGGAGAGTTCGAGTTCGAGGACCTTCTCCTATGATCCTCTGGCTGCTTCGACTTCTCTGTCTTCTTCTTCGCTGGGTGGACCGGCATTCGAATTGCCGTCCGACTTTCCAGCGCCACCTCCGATTATGTTGCCGGTTGTTGGTGGAAGACACGTATTCATTCCGCCGGAGAAAAATCAGAAACGGGAAACAACTGAGCTATCTGGTGAGTTTGGTACGTTAATTTCGTTTCGATGATTGCTTAGCTAATAGCAATTGAGTAGGCATGAGCCTCAAGTTGACGTTTACTGCACGCCTGTACTTTTGATTTGGATGTTTTGACTACAATTTTCTGTTACATACTATGTTTGGTTTCCAAGAAAATTGAGGAGAAACAGAAATGGAAATTTAGGACTATATTTCTTGTGTTTGTGGGAAACCAGTGAAAAATATTGCCTTTGCTAGGGCACGATGAAACATAATTATGTAACCAATTCCAAATAGTTCTAATAGAGCTTCATTGAGTTACATTCACTTAAGAATAAGGTCCATTGTGTTTCAATGCATAATTTCAATCAATTCAAAAATGGAGCATTTCTGAAGCAATTCGGAAATAGAATGAGAACATAAGTATTTTGTATTTTTTTATTGTGAAACATTTCGAAAGGTTTTGAAATTTGGGAATGTTGATTTTCCACTGAAACTACAAAGTTCTAATTGTTTTGGGGGAACGAAACAAAATTCTGATAGTTGGTTAACTAAGGCAAAGATACATATGAAAATTTGACAGAATATAAAATATTTTACCAAGGAGTTGGAGTAGGTTAGGGTAAGTATAGCTTACTATGTTTGGAGGAGTAGAAATTAAACTAAAAAGAATTTCTAAAGAAGATTAAAATAATGAATAGGATAATGACATTAATTAGGAAGGAGGCATTCCAAATCACCATTCCAAGTGGAGCCTAATTGCTCAAGCAGAACACTGACAAAATAATTTTCAAAAGCACCTGCCCTTTTTTAAGTTTTTTTATAGTTTTATTTATTGGTGTTTTGTTTTTGAGTTTTTCTTACTTTCGATTGCAGAAGTTGAATTGATGAAGGAACGGTTCGCTAAGCTTCTGCTTGGAGAAGATATGTCTGGTGGGGGGAAGGGAGTTTGTACTGCTCTTGCCATTTCAAATGCCATTACAAATCTCTCTGGTTTGTTCATTCTTACCTCCTTTTTTTTGTAGTTACTGTTATTTTGTTGCCTATCAATGAAATTAATATTATAATTTTTTGTTAATTTTCAATGACACTCAACTATACGCATCTGTTTGTCCATGGTATATTGACAGCTAGTATTTTTGGGGAGCTATGGAAGTTGGAGCCTTTGGCACCACAGAAGAAGTCAATGTGGCATCGAGAAATGGAATGGCTTCTCTGTGTGAGTGATTTCATTGTAGAGCTCATCCCATCAATGCAAGAAATTCCAGGTGGTGGGACCTTTGAGGTCATGGTGACCCAACCACGCTCCGATCTCTACGTGAATCTTCCGGCACTCAAGAAACTAGATGCCATGCTGATTAGCATACTCGACAGTTTCTGTGATTCTGAATTCTATTATGTTGATCGTGGGATAGTTGTTGCTGATGGTGAACATATTGAAGGACATCCTTGGTCTCCTTCCTCTGGGAGGCCATCTATTAGGCTTGAAGAGAAGTGGTGGCTACCATTCCCTAAGGTCCCACCTTGTGGTTTGTCTGAGGAAACGAGGAAGAGATTGCAAAAGTGTAGGGAATGCACGAATCAGATTTTCAAGGCTGCTGTGGCAATCAATAGCAGCATGCTGTCTGAGATGGAAGTGCCAAATTTTTACTTGGAGAGCTTGCCCAAGGTATGGGGACTCTGTTTTGTTCTTCAAATTTCTATATGTAGGAAATCAAGTGTGGGCATTCTTTCTGTGAGTTGTTACTTCTCATGCAATTTGTATTGTCTTTGCATTTTTTGTCATTTCAATAATGTGCTACTGCTGATATAAGCGATCATGGATCTCTTGCAGAGTGTAAAAGCTTGTTTAGGCGAAATCCTTTACCAGTATATAACTGCAGATCTGTACTCACCTGAGCGTCTCCTTGATTACTTAGACCTGTCATCAGAATACACCACTCTGGAAATAGCGAACAGGATTGAGGCTTCTGTGCACATTTGGCGGCAGAAGTATTCAAAAAGACAAGAATATCATGCTAAAGCTGGTAGGTCATCTTGGGCTGGCACGGTCAAGTCCCTTGTTGGTGGCGCTGAGAAGAGTAAAATTTTAGCACAACGAGCTGAAACCCTCCTTGGGAACTTAAAGCAGCGGTTCCCTGGCCTCCCCCAGACTACTTTGGATGTGAATAAGATTCAGTATAACAAGGTAGGATGCTGACCTCTATTTTAAATTTAGTATTTCTGTGACTGTGCTCCTGTTTTGTAAGATTCACTTCACATATGCTTTTGGGTACTAAAAGCCCATTTGATTTGATAATGGCTTGAGTTTTTTTGCGGTTTAGATCACTTGACGATCATTCATCCGACGGTCCGCATGCAAAATTTTTCTATGATTCATATCTCTCTTCTCATCAAATACTAACTGATACAACTCTCTCTCCTTAATTGGACTTTCATTCTTTTTACAACTCTAAAACTCTCATCTCTCATATAACTCTCTCCATCTCATACTCTCTCTCCTATCTCTCACATATTTTAAACACATACTCTCTTACCTCTCATATAACTCTCTCTTGAACTACTATATTATATCTAATAATAACAAAATACGCTTAATAACCATTAAAACCCTAATAACAAGAATTATCTCTAACAAATTATAGGTTCATTAACATATGTCATCTTATAAATATCTATCCATAACTATATGATCCTAATTGGATTTTTCTGCGTTTTACATCTCTCTTCTATCTCTTCCACATTTTAAACACAAATACTCTCATCTCTTATATAACTCTATCTCTCTATCTACCTCATACTCACACACTCTCTCTCTATCCTAAATGTATATAATAATAAAATAATAAGAGTTGGAGAATTTGGCTTGGACGGTTGTATATATCCGATAATAACAAAATACATCTAATACCCATTAAAGCTCTAATAAAAAGGATTCTCTAATAAACTATCTTAGAAAATAGTGTTTTCAAATTGATTTGAATTATATAACTAAAAAAAATAATGATAAATAAAATACTGTTTGAAATATTTACATTACATGATCAGTGTTCGAATTTATTTGAGTTATTTAGTGTCTTCAGACACTAGTTATTTCTAGTCAATGAATATGATAGCAAAATGATCCAAACAATTCGCTTATTTGCTTCATCAATATAGTTTAGAATCAGTAGTTCTGGTTAGGTATTTAGCCAACCCTTTTAGTTCCAGGAGTATAATCAATTCCACTTCCACACCACCCAGTAACCCTTGACCTGAGCAGTGTTTGAATATCATTAAACACCTCCTAGTGGATCTTTTTACATGCTTGAAGACCTTGTTTCTTTCTCTACAAACCTGATAAAGGATTTAGCCATTGGCTACTTCAATCATGGAAGCCTTACTACTGAAATTTCCCATAGCCTGTCTTTACTTGCCAACCACAGGATAAAAGCAAAGTTAGGTATATTACAACGGAACTGCATTAAACTACACCAAGGAACCTTAGGGACTTTATCCGTAATAGGTCTCCATGTTGAATGTTGGGTGTAATTCCCGGATGAGCTGCTGAGACAAAAAATTTGACCTTAGCATTCTCATTGCGTAAATATTCCACTGACGTGTTTTGTATGATATCTAACGAAACCCAAGATGCAGTATAATCAAACTCATTATCCTCCTCCGCATCACTAAATCCAGTACACTTGAGTTGCAATTCTCTTTGATTTCCTATTATATCAGTCCTGTGATTCCATTTAGAAATCAATATTGAGTACTCTCTAGTTTATCCTTGGCAACCAAAGTTCCTTAAGTGATTAATATAAGTCTCGATTTAACCCTGTATGATTTACTTTTAAGTCTCTTCAATTTAAGGCTTAGCTATAGCATAGGTCCTTTAACGTCTTGACACCAAGATTATGGACAATGGTTGTAAATGCTCCACCCTTTGGGTAACAAAGATACCATGGAAAGATTTTGGGCTGAGTGACCAGGTGGCTGAAATTCTGCTTGAGACTCTCAGAAATATATACATCCATCAACTTATCCAACTTACTCAAAATATTATCTTTGCCTTTCATTTATTGTTCCCCGTCAAAGAACACCCTGAAGCAGGAGGTTCTTGAACCTCAGTTTAACTGATGCCATGAATTGTTAAACTTCCTTTCATTGGTCCATGAGAAAAATATTGTTGCTTTTCCTTCTCTATTAAAAAGAAATAAAATATGTTATCCAACAAACAATGGTTGTTGTCTATCCAGCATTTGATGCATGCATGATATTGACCATTTGTTTTATTGGAATGTAGAATTCTCTCATGTGAATAATCGAGTCATTGCAAAAATTTTATTTTGACTGATATAAGTACTAATGGAAAGATAAACATAAGATAGTTCAACCGAGTACATGATGCATTCATGACAATTATATCTTGGCATTTTACAATTCTGCTTTTAAGTTATCAAGGAGCCCTGGAACCTTAGTAGCTTCTGTGAAGTTGAGTGAAGATTTTCCTTTGTTCTGTAGGATGTAGGCCAGTCAATTCTGGAAAGCTATTCTAGGGTGATGGAAAGCTTGGCCTTCAACTTAATGGCAAGGATCGATGATCTATTACATGTAGATGATGCAACAAAGCAACGTGCAGCAGCAGAGTCGGTTTCTATGTGTGGCCAGAGAGGTTTTACAGAAGCAGATTTCACCTAGTATGTTGCCAATACTCTCACCGCGAGTGCCTCTTTGTCAACGGCACCAGAACTCATCCGCTGCCCGATATATGGAAGCCCTAAGAGGTCTCATTGATCAGCTTGTAAAAGCAGTCTTGAAGATCCAGGGGAGGGAGCTTTAGATGGACTAACTTTCTCATACTATTTGAGAAGTAGGGTGCTATATGAGGAAGCTCAGCGAATAATAGATTTCTGCAACACTCCTGAGCTAGCTCCAGCGGCAGAGAACTTAGGTTTGAGTAATTGCCCTTTTTTATTTTCGAGTCCCCTGACACAGTAATTAGTAGCTAAGGTTAGTGGGCACTATCTGGTTTACTGGTCTTCAATCATGAGAGAACGTACGCAAGTTCTGGATGTCAGTATGCATTTAGAGGTACAAACTCTAAACTTACAAGTTAGTCTGCCTTTCTTATGTTTCTTTCTTTGTGGTTCGAGGGAGTTTGATGACCAGTGACTAGAGGGGGCTTTGTTTGGAGGTACTGTTGTTTGTAAATCACCAAAAAATTATTTAGTGTCGTCTTTCTTGCAACAATTTCTTTTGTGCCTAGTTACATACCTCTCCAGAGCCCTAATACTCACTCTGAACCAACAAATTGTAGCATTTCCTGTAAAAACATGACTCTATTTATTGAAGACCTCTTAGTTTAAGACAATTTCAAGTTCTAAACACATATATAGTGTGTTCATACATGGAAAAATTACTCGGTTCCAAAATCGTACTCACCTCAACGGGCTGCCATGAGCTTGAATGCTTGATCTTCCCATACAGTAAATTTCATGAGAATATTGGTTACTGCATCCAGTGAAATACGATCGGGTGTCTGTAATTTTTTTTTACAGTGGAGTGTTTTTGGTGTATAAAATCCGTAATACTGGCTCATCCCCTGCAAAGCACCAGATTTTGGTAACAAAGAGCGACTAGTACTACAACACACACTCACGATTTTCAGGTTTTGAAGATAGATAGAGACTTGGCATTGAAGGTAGATGGAGACTTGGTGCAGGGGTCTTTTGCTTGTAGTTACTATAACGGCAATGGAGGCTTTAACTCTGATGTTATTAGCTATATTATTATGTTATCACCCTGCTGTTAGCCATAGACTAAAAGTCTTTAAAACAATCCATAAATTCTTCACTATCAAGGGTACGATAATGGTATTAAAAAATAAACTTTTTTATTATCATACATTGAAAATCGTTTCCAAATATGCATTTTAAATTGAATTATTTATAACACTAGATTGTATAAATAAGAAAATAATATTTTTTTTTTTACTTACGTCACGTTCTCATTTTAAGATAATATAATACTAACAATAATTACTCCAATATTATCCACCAATTAACTAAACCCATAAAATAATTAAAAATTTTAATATGAACATCAAGTTTAACTACCTCATTAGTGCTTCGATTATCATAGAATTAGTTGAGTTCCAGCATAATTAAAACTTGCTAAGCTCTAAAAAATACAAAATAAAATGAAAACTTGCCAATTACAACTTACACTAGGAGATAATTAAAAAAAAAATTATTTAGACAAAATTTATTAATTTTATTTCTCGACCTAATGCATCCTAAACATTAAATAGATAAAGAATCTCCATCAATAGTGAAACCTACTATTAATTTAATGATAAAAGAGTGATTAGATCACCAAATTATCTCTTCGTATGAACAATCACCTTAAAGTATAGATATTTACCTTGTCATTGTTTAATTGGGACAATGGAATTCCCTTAAAACTCTATATCCTCCCCTACTACAACTAATTTATTGATTCCGCAAACTAAATTCTGCTAATTTCATATAAAGGAGGTGATATTGTTGTGCTTTCATTTCATATTGACAAAAATAAATGGTGTCAAATTGAGATTTTATTATTTGAATAGATAGAAGATACAAATCGACTTAATGATATAGACTGTAAACCGTGTATGGATGAGAAATCTACTAAGAATTCTTCTTGAATATATAATGACTAACTCATAAAATACATCGAAGATGTAATAAAGAAGACACTGTCCAGGAGTTTGAACAAATAATCTACATTCAATAGTACTATTTTGACTTAAAATAATAACTTAATTTATTAATCTAATTAATTAAAATTATTAAATTAGCAGCGGGGCCTTGATCAATTCTGAGACCCACAATCAATTTATTAACAATAATTAAATTAAATTAACGTTATTGTCTGTCTTCAATCATAAGACTAAAAATAGGCCTGGGTGTATAAATCCGAAACCCTAGTATTTATACAAGGGATAACCCTAATTGAATTTGCTGTCACTGCCAGTCCGTTCCTCTAGCATCCGTTTTGTGTATACGTACGCAGATAAAAAAAATCAAGGAAAATAAACAAATAAATAAATAAGATAAGAAAAAATGGTGGTCGCAGACATGCATGAAAGCCATGAAGATTAAAAATCCACTCTATCCTGGTTGTAACCCTAATGATCATCATGATCGACAATGCAAAAAGTACAGAAAATCTCCGCAGAACTGAAATGGGATTTCAAGAGACCTTGAACGGATTGTTCCCGTACTCAACAAGCCTTTTCTTTTTGCTTTTCTCACCGCCTTTTCCATGGTGTGAATCGAGTAAAAACATTCCCTCTTCTTTGATCTTTTCAGATCATCAACTTATAAAAAATCCCTATAACAAAGAAGCAGACAAAACCCATACGACAATCTTACATCGATCGGCAAGACAAGGAAACTTTTAAGTAGAAAAGAAATGGCGAAAATGAAAGGGATCTGAAAACTTTGGGCTTCTTTTTCGTTTATGTGGAAAATATTTTAGGGTTCCTAAGTTCTTGTATCGCAAGGATTTACCAGAGACCTAGGACTGATGTCGGCTGTCACTGCAAATATAAGATTGCCCTGGTACAGATTCATCACTGCAAGACAAAGTAGAGATGTTTTAGAGCGTTTTTTTTTTTTTTTTTGAGTGCTAAAATTATCACAAAAAGTTAGGGTAATCAAGTAGATACCCAGAAGGGCCAGCAACTGCAATTACATGAAACACATCAACAAAAGAGAAATGAAACAATTAATAAAGGGTGGAAGAAAAAAATAAAAGACGGGATGAAGCCAATCACAGGATCTATGGTAGCTCTTTACCTTGATCTTTAGTAGAAGGAGAAGTAAGAGAAAAGATGGATGGCGCGTTTGGCGCGTTTGGAGGCAGATATGTCATGAGGGTTTTACAAAGAGAAACCAACAGAGCTCAGTTGACAGTATGCCCACCTCCATGAGAGCGAGAGAGAGAGAGGTGGCTAGGTTTTCAGCTGCCTTTCATTTCTGACAGGAGGTGGACAGAATGCCAATAAACTCTGTAAGAAACCCTTTGCTAATCCACCATGAAAATGAAGAGCATTCTTGTGTGCACCATTGAAAGCCATAAAGACACACAGTCACAAAGACAAATTATCAACTAGCAAGTACTCCCATAAGGTATTGGAAAGAAGGATGGTGGTTGGACGCTATTTAAGATGCTAGTTGAGGCTAGCACAGTAAATAAGAGAGAGAGAGAGAAGGGGGGTTATTAATTAAGAAAGATGGGTGGTGATGAGAGGCAGTTCAGAAGACAACAGGTAGAGATAATTATCAGATGGGATGGTTCATTCCTTAGGTATATTTAGAAGCAAAGGATCAAAGAATCATCATTGTTATTCTTCCCACCCTCCCTCGTTTCTGATGAAAAAAAACAATCAACTCAACCCTCGTCCCTTGCCTTCCTCACACCCTCGTGTCTGATGCACACGCAAATCTCTCCCTCTCTCTTGAGTGCGTTCCTTAAAAACTGAAGAAAAGAGAAAAGGGTTTTGGGATTTAGCTACCAACTTACAAGGGAGCTTGTTGCTTACTGACCAAAAATGACAAAACTAGAACAGAATCAGTTTCAGAGTATTAAAAAGCAGCTTTGTTACTAAGGAAAGTCTTAGTTCTTCTTCGGTTTATGATCAAGAAAGTCTTAGTTTTGAGCTCCAACTTTTTGATGCTGCCGCTTCCTTTCCTCGTGTAATCATACGGGTCAATGTTACAGTGTTGCATTGTTTTCTCTTTTTCCTTTTCTCAACAGGCACTTAGGTAGGTCCATTGGCATAAATCAATCTGGACCGTTGAGTTGTTGAATCAGTCACATCTGCGTTAAATAGGTATATTAACCACTTAATTAGTGGGTTGTTGCCACTGTCAAAAGCTTAGAACCATATTTCCTAAATGTACTCACTACATTCAGACTATAATGGTCTCTGTGTGTGTGTGTCAAGGGAAATTAGATGGCTTACCTACAAGGATACATGGAAGTCCTAATGGTTGCACTTTCCATGAATTGGCTGCATGTTGAGAAGATTATTTCATTGAAAAACCACAAGAATTTCAACACATACGATTTGATTAGTAGCCTGTTTTCATTCCTCTTTAGAGTAAGAGACAATCCGAATAAATGTTTTTGTGCAAAATTTCAGTAGGTGGCATATGCTATCAGCCATTAATTGGTAAAGTAACAAAAAAAAAATAAAGAAAACAAGACGCACACAATGAACATTATTTTCAAGAAAGTCTCGGTAAAATAGACGTGTCCGTTGTGATGTAAATGTACCTGCATCTGAACATAAAAACCCAATAAAAATGTACCGTTTCCCAGCCATATCGGAAGTGTGATTTAACCGGAGAAATGGGTGGGACCTACTATTCCACCACTGAGGGTGGCATCCGAGGTAGGCTTCACTTTCTCTTTCCCTTCCAAAGTTCAAAAAATTAAACGATAAGCTTTGACCTATGAGAGACTGGATTAAAGCGATTAGAAAAGTGAAACATAGGTCAAATCTCTTCAATTATATTCTTACCAGTGTTCTCTAATCTCTCATATCATCCCCTTTTCCAAGACCAAGTAACACAAGAGAGAGAAAGAGAGGGGGAACTCGAAATTCTCCCCTTTGTCGAGTGAAACGTCGCACTCATCACTCCCACAACCCACGCTCCATAGTCCATACCTCTCTGGCCACTGTTTTTTCTTCTCGGTTTTTTATCCCGTTTGATATTAAAAACAGTCAACAGCTCCCTCGAACTTGCACTGCAAAATTTCCAAAAATACTCGACTTTTGAACACTGGATGCGTCTGTAATCTATTGAAGGAACCCACGTCACAGACCACAGGCCCATCCATTTATTGCTTGAAACTGTTCAGTCTGTTCTCAACCATACCTCTTTAATTCTGCAATGAACCAGAAGGAAAAAAAAAATCAGAATCCCGCCCACGTAGTAAATTTCTGGACTGTGACTGACATTGTGCTCTTATCTAACCACTTTTTACCTCTCATTAGTCTCTCCATCTCCTTGAGGTACAGACCCAGTTGTCACTGCTCAGTTTTCTGTCAGAGCATGATTGAATCATTGGGACACTCGTAAAATTATGAACAGTTTATTGTGCTAATAAATATGCTTTTTAATCTTTCTTTAGTTTGTTCCTGTACCACCTCTAGTGTAGGGTTCAAACAAACGCCAAAGCATATGATCCAGATGAATTTAATAAGCTTTAAAAAACGTCCATCAGATTTGTCTGCTACGCTTTTATCCCAGGGATCTCAACTTTTTATCCTTCCGCTATTGTTCTATTTCCTTCACAAAGAAGAGGCAAGGGACTTCCTGCAGGGTTTTGGTGCAATAGTGGGGACAATGGCATAGTAGAATGTGAATAATTTGTTTACACAGATCCGATGTAGTTTAATTTACCATAATTAGAAAATAACTCAAGTGATAATAGAAAAAAAATTATAAAATCAGATATCATAAATTTAAATTTTGATAATTTTTTGTGATCAATTTATGAATAATTTATCTTTTATAAATACATTAATTATGACGTAAATGTCTTGTCTTTGAGTAGACCGAACAAGAGATTAATAGAGGTACGTTTATCTTGTAAAAATTTTACATGATCAAGAATTTAAGTCTTTCCCTCCTCCCCACTCTCTCCCTCCCACATCCTAAAAAAAATTAAGGTACATATGAATTAATTCAAATATTTTTACCGTTAAACTAAAAAAAAATGTAGCTTTACCATGAACTTCAGACCACCAAAGCATGCCAGTTACATCATCAAGTACTCGACTTTTATGGAATGAAAGTTAAAATGAATATGGTAGTTGAGAGTATAATTAAAGTAATGTATAAAGAAAAATACAGTGAGGGCTGATTCTGGAATTTTATTAACAATGGCGATTCTTTTCTTGGGTTTCTCGATACCTGCATGAATATCCCCACTTTTTCATCATTGAGAGCTATTGGGGTGCAGGTGGATGTTCTCTTATATACATAGAGTGCTTCTAAACAACATCTTTTATCATTTTTTGTATTTTAACAGAGGGAAAGTCGTCTAAGCTATTGGGAAAAAAAAATGGTATCGTATTAAAAATTATTATTTTTGATGATAAAATTATAATTTTAAAAAAAAAATTTTATAACTAGTTGAGAGAAGTGCATGAGAGGTTATGAATATTAGTTGAGTAGTTGCAACTTCCTTTTTACAACACATAATTTTTCAAAGAGAGTGAAACTTATTAGGTGGCCAACTGTTGCTGCGTCGTCGTCGTCGTTGCGTTAGGAGACATCGGTAGTTCAGTCAAAGACCTAAAATGCGGGTCCAATAGAGTACGATGAAGAGTGAACTCCTACTATATCTCGGTCATTGCTATGTATTATGGCAGATTTGAAGCTCTCCCGTTTTGAAGGTGAGGATTTGACTTTAGATTGATTCAATTAGTTGTATTTAAGGTTCTCTTAAAAATTGTAACTTTCGTGATCGATTGTAATATTTTAGAATTGATTTTATTTTTTATAAGTTATAACTTAAATCTCAAAAGATTATAATTTAATTTTAAAAAACTATAATTATCGGTACAATATCAATATAATCTTTCGTTTTAAGAGATTCAACAATTTTTTACAGCCTACAAAAAAGGCAACGCCTGTAACATCTATTGGTGTATGCAAGATGAAACACAATCAGTACAAATGTTGAAATCAAAAACTTTAGTGGTGCACTTTGCATTGTGTCTCCAACAAGGCAACAAGTAGTGATAAACACCACATCGCCCAATTGTCGATCACAAATAAAAACATTGAAAATACAAAACAAAAAAAATAATCAAATGGAGAAACTCTTGACAGTGTAAAATGGAAAATAGTTCTTAAAAAAATAGTAGATTTCAATTAAAACTGAGACTTAATATTAAATCAATGACGATAATTGATCAAGTCAACATTTTAAATTTATGTAACATTGCTCGTGTCAAATATACACACAAGTAATCTTACGCTACATTTTATGATTTGAACTCACCGGGTTCGGATCATGAGTTTAGGGTCAAGTTGTGTCACTTTTTTATTTTTGTCGGGTATCATGTGACAGTACTTAATTAATTCAAAAATGGTATCTTCGCTATTTTTGTGCATCACTTTACCTGCACTATCTAATGTGCCATGATTTCAATTATTAAATGCTCAATGAAGTTAATGAAACTTACTAGTCTAATAATTCATATTAAGATGGTCTACAAAAGTAGTACAGAGAGGTGGTGTATATAGCATTATTAGTTGTGTTCGATTTCTCCATACTAAACGTATTGTGTTTGAGATAACTAATGAACAAAAAATTCAAAACTAGAATTCCTTTCTCTCATGAACCAAAAATCCACATGATCTCTACACTGGCAAAAGCAACAAAAAATTGAATAAAAATAAAAAGGTCAAACACTTGGTCATAAAATGAAAGTTAAACGAGATTGTACTATGCCCTGTTTATTATTGTTAAGAGTGATTTCACTTTAAATTTGTGTGAATCACAAGTCAACCATCATTTCATTTTAAAGTAGGTTTTAATGTATCTTATTTAAATTTGTCACCCCTATATATTATGTGCAATGAAAACATTAGTAATTCTTTGAGCTATGGTCTTTAAAGGTTGATTATTCTAATGTGATGGAGCTTGAGAGAATTGACACGATGAACTTGTGGAAAATTAGGGAAGAGTGAAGCCTCTCAGGTCCTAACCCTAGTAGTGACATGTGACTTTTGACGGGCCAGAGAAGAGGAGGGGCGAGTGGAGAATGAACATTCTAAAAAGCTAAAATGGTTGATTGAGATGGGCATAATGAAGGAAGAAGAATGGAGACTTTTTACAATGATAGAGATGGATCTTGGAACGGTGTGTGTCACGTGAGAGAGAGAGAGTAGATGATGATCGTATGGTTTTGTTGTTTGGTTAAAGAGAAAAAGGGTAGAGAGGGGCAGTAAGAGAAAAGGCTGTGTGTTGAGTTTCAAGACATAAATCATGAAGCCGACGAAGCTGGTTATGATGGTGATGGGAGAAAGGCACTTTTTCCAGCACTCCTGCCATGTGACTCTCTCTTTCCCTCTCTCTCTCTCTCTCTGTCTGTTCTTATATAGGTCGGATCCTACATGGTTGAAACGTCTCCCTTCACAAATGTGCCATGGAAGTGATATCCATCATTAACATCTACCCTTCTGAATACGTACGTTAGGGCCATATTCAAAAGATGCACAACGTAGTCCAATGACTGGTAGAACATAATTAATCCTTATACATTCATGTCCATTTCCTCCCACACCATTTAGTAGGAACCACATCAAATGGTTAAAATTGATTTTTCATTGTAAGCAAGAAGTTAAAGTAGATTGACAGGCGTGTCTATGCTAACACTGTCAAGAACGACAAGAATGATAAATAAGATAAGAAAATGAGATGAGACGATTTAGATTATCTATTAATTGATGAGACTAACTTTGGACCAAGAAAAAATTGGATAGGCGGAGTCCAAAAATATTCTTGCACCAATTAGAATATCTGTCACAGATAAGTTAGATACGAGACGAACAAATAATGACATTATATATTGCACAGGTACTCAGGCAATTAAGATTTGTCTTACAGACTGTCCGTGATTCTCTCTTTACAAAGATCAATGTTGTACGTGGCATTGTGCCCTTACCGATAATTACTTCAGTTGTATTTGTACAATAACCTACGTGTCATGTGTCCCAAACATTAATCAAGTAAAATTGACACAAATATAAATGAGACTCGATAACAAAGAAAAAAATGCATCCTCTCTAGTAGGGGGGTCACGATTGTGCTCCCGCAGGATCCTGCCCACGATCCACCAGATGCACAGTGGCCGTACTAACCCATATGTCCTATCATCTAATATGTCAACTTGGACTTACAAGCCGACTTGGATCATTAATCTCTAATGCCTTAGGAGTCCCTCCAAATCTAGTCAAATATAATCTAGTAGACAACGAGTCACACGCTAAAAAATCCGTTCAAACAAATTAAACCTTTAGGATCTTGTCTAAGACCAAGATCAATAATCATGCTTCTCCACCCCTGTTGCTTAATTCTCTCTTGAAAAAGATCGTACTTTCGTACTCCTAAACAAAGATCCTTCCTCTTAATTCACTAAGTCAGTCGAGTAATGGTACACCATTAATTAGTCTTGCCCTTTCGGGGCCCTAATGGGTTCCCAGAGGGGTCTTATTCCAATAATAGCCCCTTTTGGGACTCATCAAGAACACCATTCTCACAAGTTGTGGCGTTTCTTACCATAGCCAATGTCTCGAGAAAGTATGTTACTTCGCAGAGGCGGTATGACCCGTGGTCACTAGGATTTCTTCCGGGGTGGTTGTGAATCCCGAGGGTGCCCCTTTGTTGCCACATCAACTTCCAGAGGGAGGGGGATCAAATAAAATTGCTATGTACACAACTGACACCAGCTCGTCCCCCAGACAGTTTTTTGCATCAATAGGAATTATACACGACAGGAAGAGAACATTATTGAAGTCAAGTGGCAACATAATTGCCAATGTAAGGTGGAGATTGAAATTAATTCTTGTTTAAACAAGATTTGTTCTATAAAATAGGGAGGATTTGAGCCCCCCCCCCCCCCCCTCCCCACAAACACACACACACCTACATATAGATGAGAGAGCGTCTGCTCTGCTATAGAAACATAGGTATCGGCTACTTCTGCCAGACTGCATATCTGTGGCCACTGGTGGCAAGTGTCCACTCCCTGCCAGCCGGGCACCATGAGCCATCCCCAATCTTCATGCACACACTCTCCCCAAGTACTGCAGCATACAAATTTGGCTGAGCCTCGAGAATCCTGATGGATGATCGGCTGTTGATGTCCTGACGCCTCCGAATATCCATCTGAACAGTTATGTGCAAGTATTAGAAAGACTAAAAAATGTGACATTAGTAGATGAAAATCGTTAAGTAGCATACCAGCTTCACAATTTGATCATGAATGGAATCACCCCAATCATAAAAATGGTCATAAAAAACTGTGGGTATCCCTGGATGGGTGAGGATGTATGCATAGCCCTGGAGAATAAATGTGCAGTCAGGGATCACAACAAGCAATTAAAATGGAAAGGCAATCACCCTTTTTCCTTCACACCACTGTTTGCCAAACAAAATTTGTAGACCTAATTATAAGATTCAATATTACTTCAAAGCTGCATTGGGTACAAGAGTGAAAGTTGAATTTTTTTAGAAACCATTTCCAGGAAAACTATGAATTAATGGAATACTCGTGCATTTACCTCCTGCAATCAACTTATGCACTATGCACACAATCCAAACAAGAGAATTTCAAATACCTCCATGATATGATTTGAGGGAAAAGGCCAATGACCCTGAAAGAGAAAAATGATTTTGAGTCAGTAACCCCTCAAGGAACAGAAGCTTGATTTCTAAAAGACAAGCTCCCATAAGAGACACATGGGACATACTTTCCATATGCTAAGCAAATTTACGTTCAATATGTAAAATCAATCCAAAATATCATCGAGAATGAAAATTGACTCAATCAGACCGTTTCATATAATCTCATATTCATCAAAAAACAAATAATTCACATAGAAGCATGATAATATTCTCAAGATGAATAAACTTAGACCACAGAACTATGGCAAAAACAGTAGTGCATGCGTCCATCAGAATAAAAAATGATGACATCAAACAAGTTTCTCAGAAATATCCGGTTCCACGTGCAAATAAGCATGAAACATATAATACCTGAGTTGAGCCTGTATCATGGTTATCAATGAAGGAGACAGCCCTTGAAGGCCACCATCCTATAACACCTGGTGGCTTCCCTTGAGGATCACGCATACGCCAGAGTTCTCCTTTAACAGCTTGCTGCACACAAAACATAAATGAACAATAGTAGAAGGTTAAGCTCCATGGAAGCTCCAGTCTATTGGGAATCAACTATGAGAAAGCCCTAAATACACTATGAAAACAAGTTATTATGTATAACAGCACAATGGAAGTGTTGAATTATGTAGTCATATAACCAGAGAGAGAGATAAATTATAAGGAATACTTTATAATCAAGGAACCCGACTTGACAAACCATCTGTCAGGCTCTTTCAAGGTCAACAAAAAATTGTCTCTGCATCATGCTGTCGGAAAGTACCTGAAGAATTCCTTTGGTCGTGAAGTCAAATGCAGTGGAAAGCTGCCCTGTGCCATCAATCCAATTGATAATCCTTTGCCTATGACTATCTGCATTTGCAATTAGTGAACAAAGGAAAATAGTCATGAAAAGAACAACAAAGTCACCAAAAATTAAGGCCCCGTACTCTTTACCAGCAGACAACAAAATAAATACTAAAAGACTCGTGAAAGCCATTATGGGGAAAAAAAACTAGGAGAGCAGAATCTTAAAAGATGGGAAAATTTAACATCAGTTCTATTCAATATGCAATTCAGTGTAAAGGATATACCATCAATGGTACAAACATAACCACACAGATTAGTGAAGTGTTAAACTATCTGTATTCTAACAGCTGATGAAGTCTCAATTTCAAGATTAAATGTGGGTTTTAAGAGAGAAGGACATGTGAAATCAGTATTTCAACAACCAATGAATGACTAAAACTGCAATATTTCCACAATGAGAAAAATCCCTAGAAATATGTTGGCATGTGTTAGTAGTTATAGGATTTACTAGCTGGTGGTTTGCATACCATGGCTCTACTGAAACATCACTAGGAAGTCCTGTCTACCATCCCATAGTCAGCAACACAACATGCCACAATCAATTTCAAAAACAAACTCTCAAAATAGCTTTTTTTTCTTTTATTTGAACTCATTCATGCACAGATAATTAGGACTCAGCTCAGAGTTGATATTTCCTTTATAGGCACTTAGTTCATCATCCAATGAGCTATGCATCAAAATAGTTAAAGAAGTATGATACCTTGATTGTACTCCAAGTAATTGCCCTTGTAATTGCAAGAATCCCAGTACTCCCCAACAGAAAATATTGGCTTGGCCCCTTCAATGTATTCCTTCACATATTTTGCTGAATAACTGAAGTTGAACGTTAAGAAATATGATGAAAGATTATTTTCAGATAAAAAGGAATTTACGGGACCAACATTAAAGGAGCAGCAGATGATTATAATCTTTACCCTCTTGCAAAATCAAAACGGCAGTCTTGGAAGCCAACAGAGTGGCGCAGCCACCGAAGCCACTCAATAATGTCTTTTCTAACAAAGGATTGTGTATGATCAATATTTGGAACCCCATGAAAGTTGTCACCGGTGCTTCGATTACCCTGGAAGATGAGATTAGAATTTGTAGAACACTGAATATTTGGTTTGCTGTTTTGAACTCACTATAAATTTATGGAAGATCTATTTGTGGCCAATTCATGTACAGAGTTAACCCCAACGAATTACATGCACAAGCACATACACACCCTGCACGTGAGAGGCCCAAGAGGGGGAGGGGTGATAGAGAGGTAGAAAAGCACACTAAACAGTTTGGACAATTGCCATCATAAGGATGAGGTCTGCAATCCACTGGGAAACTATGTAGGTCAACCAATACATTCCTTGGCTCAGGGCCTGCTCTTGAGGTTCCAATTTCACCCTGACAATTTCAAATGTAATGAAGTGAAAAGGAAAGGGAGGAAATCTGAAAGCAATTTGTTCCTCATTCCAAGTTCAAACTTTGTAGCTTAAGTGTCTTACATAAGATATCAAACTTGTTGCCGCTATTCATTACTGCAGGAAGCAACACACCATGTGCTGTATGCACTACATATAAGTTGGGAAGAGCACACGCTTAATCCTAATCACATCTTGCCCCCCCGCCCCCTCCAAAAAAAAGGAAAAAAAAGAGAGAAATATAAAAATCATTCTCGCCCCTAACAGACGCTCATTGTTTCATGATCATCTATGTATATTCACTTCAGATATGGAAGTAAATATGTCAGGTAATTATCCACAATAGGTACAAACGCTGAAATAAGCCATAAAGGATCACCATTTGTTGACGATAAGGCCACATATCTGTTTCATAACATAGCTAAGTCCATTAGAAGAACAAGTTTTTAAGCTATTTCTTGAAAAAAGAATCGAAATCTCTAATAATGGATACTATATCCATCATCCATGAAAGTTCTAAAATTTATGACTATAAATGTTTTAACTGCTTTTAAATTGTCAAGCCAACAATCCATCACAACAATGATTGATATATATATATATATATACTCTAATAATGGATACTATATCCATCATCCATGAAAGTTCTAAAATTAATGACTATAAATGTTTTAAATGCTTTTAAATTGTCAAGCCAACAATCCATCACAACAATAATTGATATATATATATATAGAGAGAGAGAGAGAGGGAGTCTGAACTTGTTACTTATGGACAACTTCCTGTCCCCTTCCATAGAAGTTTTGAAGGTTCAATTATTTGTTTTCTCCCTGAGGGTTGAATGGATAAAAAATTCCATATTTTGCAACAAGGCTACTTAATGGAAGATCTAATTACGTAGTGTACAGTTTCAACCAGGCATCCTAGGCATCTTGGTGGCAGACTGGGTTTACAGTCTCAACCAGGAGTCCTAGGTCTCTTGGTGGCAGACTGGTCTTAGTACAAGCTAAGCCGACTACAGTACTGATGTCATTTAACTATCTAATAATATCAAAATTCAGAAAAAGGGTGACCTCTGGTTAGGGGCGCATTCTACACTACAGAATGATCCCCTAACAACTGTAGGCCCACAAGAGTTTCAAAACAGGAGTTCACACTAGTAACTCAGGTAAATAGGTTTTTAATCAAGAAGAGGAGATGTTTATACTCCCAATTGCATAGTTTGTAATAAGTTTACCAAGAAAGTCACAGGGAGATGTAGCTCCCTTTACAGTGATCTTATGCTAGAAACAATGGTAAATTTACTTTTTCACACTTAGTCAAGTTGAATGAGGATTTATAGTAGCAGTATTGCCAGTTTTGCATATATTTTTGGGGTAAAAGCTTTGTATATTTCTGTACACTGGAAATAACAATAAGTTAATGACCACTAATATCCTTACCAATCCACCAGTACAAGATGTAACAGCAAGTTCATCCCATGCTATTGGAATTCCATCATAACGGTTATACATCCCACCATGCCCCTGGGCAGTTCCAACACGATGATTGATGACTATGTCAGCCATTGCTCTAACTTTGTACTGCTTCATTTTTTGAAGTAGAGCTTTTAGCTGGTGCTCGGACCCATATGACGAATTGAGAGAATAAAGATTTTGCGGAAGGTAACCTATCACAAAAGAAAACAGAAGACAAAAAAATATGAAACCAACAAAGAGGTGTTATGGAGGTGTATACGAAAAAATAAATAAGTGTATGTTCTAAAGATACATTTGCTTCCAACCTTCAGGTGCAAATGAATNCTCTAATAATGGATACTATATCCATCATCCATGAAAGTTCTAAAATTTATGACTATAAATGTTTTAACTGCTTTTAAATTGTCAAGCCAACAATCCATCACAACAATGATTGATATATATATATATATATACTCTAATAATGGATACTATATCCATCATCCATGAAAGTTCTAAAATTAATGACTATAAATGTTTTAAATGCTTTTAAATTGTCAAGCCAACAATCCATCACAACAATAATTGATATATATATATATAGAGAGAGAGAGAGAGGGAGTCTGAACTTGTTACTTATGGACAACTTCCTGTCCCCTTCCATAGAAGTTTTGAAGGTTCAATTATTTGTTTTCTCCCTGAGGGTTGAATGGATAAAAAATTCCATATTTTGCAACAAGGCTACTTAATGGAAGATCTAATTACGTAGTGTACAGTTTCAACCAGGCATCCTAGGCATCTTGGTGGCAGACTGGGTTTACAGTCTCAACCAGGAGTCCTAGGTCTCTTGGTGGCAGACTGGTCTTAGTACAAGCTAAGCCGACTACAGTACTGATGTCATTTAACTATCTAATAATATCAAAATTCAGAAAAAGGGTGACCTCTGGTTAGGGGCGCATTCTACACTACAGAATGATCCCCTAACAACTGTAGGCCCACAAGAGTTTCAAAACAGGAGTTCACACTAGTAACTCAGGTAAATAGGTTTTTAATCAAGAAGAGGAGATGTTTATACTCCCAATTGCATAGTTTGTAATAAGTTTACCAAGAAAGTCACAGGGAGATGTAGCTCCCTTTACAGTGATCTTATGCTAGAAACAATGGTAAATTTACTTTTTCACACTTAGTCAAGTTGAATGAGGATTTATAGTAGCAGTATTGCCAGTTTTGCATATATTTTTGGGGTAAAAGCTTTGTATATTTCTGTACACTGGAAATAACAATAAGTTAATGACCACTAATATCCTTACCAATCCACCAGTACAAGATGTAACAGCAAGTTCATCCCATGCTATTGGAATTCCATCATAACGGTTATACATCCCACCATGCCCCTGGGCAGTTCCAACACGATGATTGATGACTATGTCAGCCATTGCTCTAACTTTGTACTGCTTCATTTTTTGAAGTAGAGCTTTTAGCTGGTGCTCGGACCCATATGACGAATTGAGAGAATAAAGATTTTGCGGAAGGTAACCTATCACAAAAGAAAACAGAAGACAAAAAAATATGAAACCAACAAAGAGGTGTTATGGAGGTGTATACGAAAAAATAAATAAGTGTATGTTCTAAAGATACATTTGCTTCCAACCTTCAGGTGCAAATGAATGAGTTGCTGGTGGCAACCAAGCCGATGTAAACCCAGATTTTGCAATATCAGGAACCTTGTTCTCTAAATTCCTCCACCAGCCATACTTATGAGACTCCCAGTTGAAAGCCTGATAAGTAATTATCTGTTAACTGCCGAAAGTTTTACACGTACTAGTTACTAGCTAGGCTTAAACAGTTAAGAAGGAGGATTTGTGTAATGTAGATAAATGCAAACACAACCGTCCAACCAGGGGCTCAGAAAGCAAACAATCATCAATTCATCTTATTTTCTAAACTAATTTAGGCAATCCAGCAGCGAGGTAAGAACCACTCCATCTCATTATTCAAAAAAGTTTCCGCAGAAAAAATTCATGTACTTTTCCAAGTTACCTGCAATAGAATTTCATTTCCTTTGCGTATCACTGCACCTGTAAATGAATCCAACGACCACTTTAGTCAGTGTGAGTGTCAATATCCTTCACAAGATAAAACAAGAAAACACATGTCCCCCTGAATAACTGCTAATACAGATGATTTATAAACAGCAAAACTGAGATAAACAAAGCATGGAGTGTGAATCCAGTAAGCCTGCCATTTTATGATTTTCAGTTACTAGATCGATGTTAAACCATATCATCCCCAAAAAAATGGGGAAAAACTGATAGAATATAATTATATTCCTCAAATAATCACTTTTTTTCTCTATGTATTTATACATCTAATTGCCCTTTCTACACCATTCCATGGTTACAACCCCATATCCCAACTGGGACATTGACCCTCCTGCCCATTTTTGGGGTGGTTGGAGATACCACTCAATTTAACATCTAATAGTGATGTTAATCGGCATTAAAGGCCAAACCATCATTAATTTCACTTTAGAAAAAATCCATGAACCAATTCTATTATAGATAAGTTTAAAGGGACAATGACAATGAATTTTCGCTGTTCATCATCAGAAATCAACAGTACTGCTTTTATCTCCATTAGAGTTCTTCAATATCTGTGGGAATATTTAGCGGTACTTTATCTCGAGTTCTATAAGACAAACATGGATATCATTTAAAGTTGACCAATTCTGTGTGCCAATTACCAGTATCATAACATACAAATGCTCAAAAATGAAAAGACAACAAAGATAAGACAAGAATAATGACTAGAAAATAGTTCCTTTTCTATTTCAAAGTCCTGCTTGAAGTCAAAACAAAATAGAAAGGCATACCAGGATCAGTCTGCTGAATATTTTCATCATATGCCTGAATATCATTTGAAAATGACGACAGATAAAGAAAATTAACAAGATGATTAGTTCACTATATAGAAAAGCTTCATAAATGAACACATCAAACAGAAGAATTGAACTAGGGTGCATACATTGCTCAGGTAACCCATATCAGACCACTGGCAAGTTTAGAAAAATTTGACGCTGGATCAAGCAAACTGCAGCACCAACAAATACCCTGCATTGACAATCAACACCTAATTTATGCCTTCCATCATTTTATGTGGAATTACATAAGAATTAACCTATAAGATTGAGAGTGATAGCAAAGAAAGCAGAAGTTTATACTTACTTTCAAAAGAGAAAAAAAAAAAAACAGAATCTTGTTTCTAACATCAATGTTTGTCGCCATTTGATGTTTGATTTAATGGGTGAATATTACAAGAAACAAATGCTTTACTTTGAGTCTGATTTCAAAAGCAATTAACAGATATAAAACAACTGAAATTTTTTTTCCTTTGCGATCTCATACTATGGAGATAGGATAGGTTTGTGCAGTCCATCCAAATCTACTGCATGCAAAGAAATTAAAAATTACTCCATAATGCGACAAACATCTACAGCCAGCCTACCCTTGAGTTCAATAAGTCGAACAATTTAAGCCTCATCTGAAAGCTAAACAAAAACCAAACACAAGTGACAGAAAACTGGTTATACTTCACCAAAGGTAACAAATATTAATAAATTAGCTGTCTCCTTTATCGCCCCAAAACTAATGTCACTTCGACAGCGATAACAACCAGCACCATGCAATTTCACAGTGATCAACTCTAACATTAACACTACCTCCTCCAAGGCCTTCACCTTAAATCAAACATCACACTCCACCAGCCACCCATTCCAACGACTGTTACCCCAAAAATGTTGCTAACATTACCGCTCCTCATACCACTAACAACATTCACAAGAATCACAACTAAACAGTCCTGAAACTTGCCTTCCCACTCATTAGATTCATGACTTACAAGGCAAACCAACAAATTCATTGATTTTCTTGCAACTAGCATAAAATTATAATTCAAGCAATAATATTGAATTAATCACAATACAATAGCACAAGAACCATTAAAGTTATGTGCAAAATTAAATAGTTCCAAATCAATGCTGTAAGTAAAAGAAATATGGAAAACGAAAATTGAAAAATCAAATCAGAGTATAAAGAACCCTGGAAAATATAACGATAGACAAGAGACCAAAGGGTTTAGCTGTTCCTTGCAAATGCCGATCGCAAGCACGGATTTACATTCTTGTGCATTGGGCACATATATAGATGGCATTAGAAAAAGGGGAAAGACTCCGATTGATTCCTTCGAATTGGAATCACGATTTTCCAACCATGTGAAGAAGAAAAAGCAATCACGAAAGACTCGAATTTATGCCAGCAATAAAATTCGATAATCACCGAACCAGCACCACCAACGGTTCTGAAATTTTCACTAGTGGTGATCAAAGCTGAGGGGATATTCTAGCTTTCTGGAAAAAGAGGTCGACTTTTGAGATTCGAGTTCTTCACTTTTCGGAGGGAATGTTCATATTCGACGTTAAATAAAACATTGGGGATTGACGACGCGGGTTGGACGAATAGTAAGGTGAATTACACATTATATCCCAAAAGATTTAACAATTCTTATTTTGTATCTTTAATGATTAAATTGTTAATATTATATTTTTAATATACATTACAATATGATTATGCTGTTAAAAGGCAATCGAAATTCGATCAAAAACCCGTAAGTATAAGGGTAAGAATGGACTAGATTGTCGGTCGGAGTTGAGTTGGGCCAAATTATCATACAAAATTACAGTCTAGAGTGAGCCTTTTTAAGTTGAGACTCCATCTTGTATCGATTGAAACGAATGCAATTCCATACAAAGCTCTTTGTAGAAGTTTTTGATCGTTAATTAAATCAATTTCTTCTCCCTCCAGAGCAACCATTTTTATTCTTAGTCTAGATCTGGTGTTTATTCTTCTTCTTGCATTCACTATTTGATGGAAGAATTTTGTGTTCTTATATCTCTCTCTTAACCATGTCATTCTTGACATTTGTCGCCAATTAATCTTTTCCAGCCTAATTTGCTTCCTTCATTTTTCTTTGGTTGAAGTTCTTGGAGCTATTTCTACTGATGATAAAGGTCTTGATTCTTTTGTGTGGTCTAGGTATGCAATTTCTTCCAAAGCTTCCATTTTCATCAAGTCTACTCTCTCAAAGTGCTCCTTATTTCGGTTCCCTTTTAAGGCTTTAACCTTCAATCAAAAAGATGTGGCATGCTTTCATGATGAACTTTTTATTAATTTTGACAATTGAATTTCTCTACGAATTGAAAAAATGGTGCTTCGGATCAAGAGTAACCACAGGTAATAGAAAAAAGATCAGGAGAAGGACAAAAAAAAGAGCGATGTCTATATTAAATCAATTGATTCAACATGGTAGAGAAGAAAAATGGCACACAGATCATACTTGAAGCTTCATATCAATGTCCCTAGAAAGCAAGGAGTATGCTTGCATGTTCCAACGAGAGTATTGAAAAAAAACTAATTCAGCTCCATGTGAGATAGCCAAAGTATGGTTGAACAATTGACATGATATATTTGCTCACATTCCAAGTGAAAATCATAATTCGTAGGAACATTCTGTGGTCATAATAAGAGGAGATTGAATAAAAAATTCACTAGGTGTGAAATTCGAGGAGTCAAGAATTTTTTGAAGATTCCAAATTCATCTTTTTAAAAGAAGAAATATATACAATTAACCAAATCATCTGAAACACGAACAAAATCACCTTTGTTTTGAAAACCTAGCGAGTTAAGTTAAGTTCTTTTTTTTTTCGAAGGTGGTTGTTCAATCGATATCTCGCTTATTTAATGTTGTTAACTATTGGAGGAAGATATCATCCGTTTAGTACTATCGAGAGCTTCGATTGTTAAATCTAATGTAAGTTAAAGTCGTAGTTGTAGATCATCCCTAATAAACTTTTTACACATTGTCCATGGACAGGACTTAGTGTGTATGCTTAATTTTTTTTGGATAAATAATACTTTGTATCTCAAAAGATTATTATATTTTAAATATAAAATATTATAAAAGAATAAAGTTATCATTTTCATCAATTAAATAAAAATATAATAATATCCTCCAAATTTGTTAAAAAAGTTAACAAATATTTTATTTCAAAATATATTATTATTTTTTCAAGATAAAATATAAGATTTTTAATATTTGAGAGTATAAAATAAGAAATTTTAAATTTTTTAGATACAAAAAGTCATTTCACATCATATTTTTTTAAATTATTATTAAATTAAATTGCATCAGTTTGGAAGTGCATTTCTAGGGTTTTATAGAGGAGGGCAGAGCTAAGTAACCACTGCAAATAAACATAATGGAGGATCCGGAAATCCCAAACATCTGCATAGAAGACGTAAACCTTTCACTGTCGCTTCAAGAACCAAGTCCCAAGAAGCAGAAAATGTCCATCACCACCTCCGACGATGAAGACTTGGAGACCACCACGGCCACCACGGATGGACCTACACTGGAGAAAAAACCCAGATACAAGCGCCGGAAAATCGCCATATTCTTCGCTTATTGCGGCGTCGGGTACCAAGGAATGCAGAAAAACCCCGGAGCCAAAACCATCGAAGGCGACCTCGAAGAAGCCCTCTTTCATTCCGGTGCAGTACCCGAACATGACCGGGGCCGCCCAAAACGGTTCGATTGGGCCCGGTCTGCCCGTACTGATAAGGGAGTTAGCGCCGTTGGCCAAGTAGTGTCCGGACGGTTCTATGTTGATCCGCCCGGTTTTGTGGATCGACTTAACTCTAATCTTCCTCCCCAGATTCGGATTTTCGGGTACAAGCGTGCGACGGCGTCGTTTAATGCGAAGAAGTTCTGCGATCGGCGTAGGTATGTATATTTGATACCTGTGTTTGCTCTTGATCCGTGTGCGCATAGAGATAGAGAGAGTGTAATGGCTAGTTTGGGTTCTGGGAATGAGCTTGTTAAGTGTTTGGAATGCTCAGAGAGAGGACGTAAGGTCATAGGAGTTATGGGTAAACGTAGCTTTGAAACGAAAACTGATACTGAGGTCATATCAGCCGAGTCAGGCATTTTATCGAACAATGAAACTGCTATTTCGCACAAGGAAGTTGAGGAGGAAACAATGTTTTCCAAGAACAATGGTGAGAGTAAGGATATTGATTCTGAACCCGTGAAGGAACTAGAAAACGGAACTGCCGAAAATGAAAGCATTGTTTTGAATTCTGACCCAGCAATCGTGGAACAGGAAATTGAAGATGAGTGCGCTAAGGGAAAGGCGAAACCAGAGGAAAAGAGTGGGTTTTGTTATGGTGAGAAGGAGAAGGAGAGGTTTAACAGAATACTGAAATATTATGAGGGAACACACAATTTTCATAACTTCACTACGAGAACAAAAGCGGAGGACCCATCTGCTCGGCGCTACATTGTCTCATTCCAGGCAAACACTACAGTCACAGTGGAAGGTATTGATTTCGTCAAGTGTGAAGTTGTGGGGCAGAGCTTCATGCTTCATCAGATTCGGAAGATGATTGGAGTTGCCATTGCAATCATGAGGAATTGTGCTTCGGAGTCATTGATTGAAACAGCTCTTCAACAGTGAGTGCTGTCATTGCTGGTATAGATATTGCTTGAAATTTCATTTTTTTTTTTTGGCCTAACATTTGACTTTATAATTTAGGAATGTTAATATCAATGTGCCCACGGCTCCTGAAGTTGGATTATATCTGGATGAGTGCTTTTTCGCATCATATAACCAAAAATGGAACGGCACCCATGAAGAACTGTCTATGAAAGCTTACTCTGAGGAAGCAGAAGACTTCAAGATGAAGTATATATACACTCATATTGCATCTACAGAACATAATGAAGGAATTGTTGCCCTCTGGTTGCATTCTCTCAACCACCGAAATTATCCTGATTTATGTGCTGTTAGCAATAGTGGGACCATGGACGGGAACAGCGCCGAAGTTGAGAACCTGGATGAGTGAGTTGTATTGCTGGTTACTTTTTTGTCACTGCTTAATTTCCATTCATGCTTGTTATGTTATTCCTATACTTGATATTCTCATGTAAACTCTCTAAATAATATTGTAACAGAAGGTGATTGTAGTTTACATAGGTCTGCTACATTGTTGAACTTTTGGTGTCAAATAATGAAACGAGAGATAGTAAGTTGCAAGTGTAAGTTGGACAAGTAGGTAAGAATGTAAGTCTATTTTTAAAACCAAAGGAGAGGAACTATTTCAAGCAAGGAGTATATGACCTCAGACTTGAATGATTTGCAAAAGGGTGCCTTAAGTAAGGCAGGTGAATCCTAAACATAAGTAAGGGCGTAGGCATGGAGCAAACATAATCTTCTCTTATTTCACTTCTATCACTAATCTCAATGGGTTGTGCTTAGTTTTAACCCGGATAGAGCCCTGGGTCGGGGACGGATTCAATGTGGGATGCCAATGGTTGATTAATGTCTTGGAAACATTAAGTCACTGTATCAGTGCAGTTTTGGGAGGATCAGATTGAAGAGGATATGATATTCAATTTAGGTGTCAAAATATGTGGGTTTCTAGAGTATGTGGTTGCACATTTTTTGGACACAACCAAGGAACATTTGAGAACTAATCCGATAATACTTTATGAAAACCTTGAAATTGTGAATGCAGCCAAGTTGTTACCCTATTTCACTTGGAATGCTCATAGTGGACCTACGTGTGTTGAAAGGCTTTTCTATTTTCACTTGGGAAACAAATCATGTGATTTCGAATGTGTGCATTAGTCACAAAGTATGTCTGTGTAATTTTGAGTCTTTGACTGCAGGCAGTTATTCAGAACAAACTTTTTAAGTTCATTATCACACAGTAAGCTTTCTTTGGTATTGTTAGTGTGAAGGTTGTCCTGGGTTCACCATATGTGGATTGAGCAATCAAGAATACTAGTTTCATGGCTTTAGCCCCCTACTATCAAGGGGGTGATAGGGGCACAGTGTGCTGTAAATGTTTGAGCATGCTTCATGCCTGATATAGGTTTTTTGTTATATATGGAATTTATTTCCATGTTTTTAGATTGGGTTTGTTATACAGTACCTGAATGTTGTAGTTTGGTATCGTATACTGAGGGCTGTGTTTTGTGGTGGAACCCTGCTTCGATTTTGGTTGGTGGAATGATGGGTAGGTTTCAATTGAAAACAGGGGTTCCAGCTCTGAGAGAATAATTTGTAATGTTTACAAATCATTAGTGAACCTAGAAGTATGGATACTTCAGAGTTTTGGTTGTAGAAAAGGAGGTGATTTTAATTTTTTTTTACCGGGTGGGTGGGGTTTTTTTTTTTTTTTTGGTGGGTTGGTGATTAGTAGTTGGGGTGTTGTTGTGTTGAATGGCTATGAGAAGACTGCTGGCGTTAGTGGAGGATGATTTCGGTGTTCACAGGAGGCTGATTTCGGTGCAGGCAGTTGGTGGAGGGGGTGGGCGTTAGCTGTGTCTTTTGTGCCGATGGATGCGATGTTTGATGGAGGCTAGGGTTAATGTTAGGGTTGGTTGCTCTGATACTAACTTGAGATAAATGTAAGTGAAAGGGATACAAACTAAGTGTAGAGTCCCCGTATATATAGCCAATAAAAATCATACTAAGGATAAAAAGGTAAAAAAAGAAAAAAACTCTAATAAAC